ATAGTAGCTATTGCCATATAGTCAACACTACTAAACTAAGCTTATAGTAGCTATTGCCATATAGTCAACACTACTAAACTAAGCTTATAGTAGCCATTGCCATATAGTCCTCACTACTAAACTAAGCTTATAGTAGCTATTGCCATATAGTCCTCACTACTAAACTAAGCTAATAGTAGCCATTGGCATATAGTCAACACTACTAAACTAAGCTTATAGTAGCCATTGCCATATAGTCAACACTACTAAACTAAGCTTATAGTAGCCATTGCCATATAGTCCTCACTACTAAACTAAGCTTGTAGTAGCCATTGCCATTATAGTCATCACTACTAAACTAAGCTTATAGTAGCCATTGTCATATAGTCCTCACTACTAAGCTTATAGTAGCCATTGTCATATAGTCAACACTACTAAACTAAGCTTGTAGTAGCCATTGCCATATAGTCAACACTACTAAACTAAGCTTATAGTAGCCATTGCCATATAGTCCTCACTACTAAACTAAGCTAATAGTAGCCATTGCCATATAGTCAACACTACTAAACTAAGCTTATAGTAGCCATTGCCATATAGTCCTCACTACTAAACTAAGCTTGTAGTAGCCATTGCCATATAGTCTTCACTACTAAACTAAGCTTGTAGTAGCCATTGCCATATAGTCAACGCTACTAAACTAAGCTTATAGTAGCCATTGCCATATAGTCCTCACTACTAAACTAAGCTCATAGTAGCCATTGCCATATAGTCCTCACTATTAAGCTCATAGTAGCCATTGCCATATAGTCCTCACTACTAAGCTCATAGTAGCCATTGCCATATAGTCATCACTACTAAGCTCATAGTAGCCATTGCCATATAGTCATCACTACTAAGCTCATAGTAGCCATTGCCATATAGTCATCACTACTAAGCTCATAGTAGCCATTGTCGTAGTGAGGACTATATGACAATGGCTACTATGAGCTTAGTAGTGAGGACTATATTAATCCTATAGTAGCCATTGTCATATAGTCCTCACTACTAAGCCTATAGTAGCCATTGCCATATAGTCCTCATTACTAAGCTCATAGTAGCCATTGCCATATAGTCCTCACTACTAAGCTCATAGTAGCCATTGTCATATAGTCCTCACTACTAAGCCTATAGTAGCCATTGCCATGTAGTCCTCACTACTAAGCTCATAGTAGCCATTGCCATTGCAGTAAGTCTTTCACTAACAGCAGAAATATTCCAGTCTAAACAGTCTGTTGTCTTATGCGTTTGTCATATTTTGGCTGTTTTTGCACCGATTAAAAATTGTTTCACATTTTGATTTATGTTGTATTCAGTCTTCTTTCCTTCTTCAAAGTCAAAAAAGTTAATTTAATTTCGTTAAGTTATTTGTAGTTACTCTTCTGTTGTTTTTTTTATTGGGAAAACGGTATTTCTGGAAGTACCAGATTGTCAATAATGTTTCAGCCTTCACACTTTTGACCTAGAAACAAATTTCACTAACATTAAAATTATTTTAAAAATTTAAAAGATGGCTGAAACTAGAAAGAAATTTACTAAAAAAAGTGGCAGTTTTTTATAGTTGTAAAAGGCAATGATGTAGTAGATTACTGTGTATTGTCATATTCAGTGTAAAGAATTGATAACTGGGTGAAATGTTTCATTTTGTATGTAAAATACATAGGGTCCATATGAATACCTGTGTAAATAGTGGGATTAATTACAATATTGATGGTATTTTTATTAAAATGTTTGAGTGATTAGGGACTCTGTAATCAACAGAGTTGTGGACCCACATAGCACAAGTAATTTAATGCATAAATAATTAATGTGTATATAACAGCTGATTGTCATAAGGACTTTATTGGTTATTCTAGGGTTAAAAAGCAACATTGAATATTTGTATGGGCATCTACTGTCTTATATACAAGTAAATCCAGTGTTAAACAAGGGTTAACCATCTCCTTTGGTGTTTAGATTCCAGAAGACTATTCTTACAGTTCCAAGGGTGCAGTCAGACTTTACAGTGACCAGTTGCTACCTTTTACAGCCATGTTTAAACTGTGGAGCTGTTGATCAGAGGAGATATCTTCGGATTCAAAGGTTTGTGTATTTTGAAATAAATCTATATAAGAAACAAGAGCAGCATATATTATGTGGTTGCTTTGAACGCAACTCATGTCAACAGGCTTGTGTAGCTTAATTTACTTTTTCTATTACTTTTCTCCCTAGAGGCTTTTAACTGCCACTAGAGGTCCTCATTGTTACAGTTTTTAGAAGATCCCCATTTTTATTTCAGTGCATAATAATAATAATTTTTATTAAAACCTGTGTATCATAAACGTGTGAATTACTTCTAAAACTAGGTGGGCAGGCAGTGTCACAGTCAACATAATGACATAACTTAGTTAATACTGTAATAGTATGAAATTAAACGGTAGGCAGGCAGTAGTCACAGTCAACATAATGACATAACTTAGTTAATACTGTAATAGTATGAAATTAAACGGTAGGCAGGCAATAGTCACAGTCAACATGATGACATAACTTCGTTAATACTGTAATAGTATGAAAGTAAATGGTAGGCAGGCAGTGGTCACAGTCAACATGATGACATAACTTCGTTAATACTGTAATAGTATGAAATTAAATGGTAGGCAGGCAGTGGTCACAGTCAACATAATGACATAACTTAGTTAATACTGTAATAGTATGAAATTAAACGGTAGGCAGGCAGTGGTCACAGTCAACATAATGACATAACTTGTTAATACTGTAATAGTATGAAAGTAAACGGTAGACAGGCAGTGGTCACAGTCAACATAATGACATAACTTAGTTAATACTGTAATAGTATGAAAGTAAACGGTAGGCAGGCAGTGGTCACAGTCAACATAATGATATAACTTTGTTAATACTGTAATAGTATGAAATTGAATGGTAGGCAGGCAGTGGTCACAGTCAACATAATGACATAACTTCGTTAATACTGTAATAGTATGAAAGTAAACTATGTAGACAGGCAGTGGTCACAGTCAACATAATGACATAACTTTGTTAATACTGTAATAGTACAAAAGTAAGCTAGGTAGGCAGTGATCACACTCAACATAATGACATAACTTTGTTAATACTGTAATAGTACAAAAGTAAGCTAGGTAGGCAGGCAATGGTCACAGAGTACATAATGACATAACTTTGTTAATACTGTAATAGTACAAAAGTAAGCTAGGAAGGCAGGCAATGGTCACAGTCAACATAATGACATAACTTTGTTAATACTGTATTAGTACAAAAGTAAGCTAGGTGGGCAGGCAGTGGTCACAGTCAACATAACGACATAACTTTGTTAATACTGTATTAGTACAAAAGTAAGCTAGGTAGGCAGGCAGTGGTCACAGTCAACATAACGACATAACTTAGTTAATACTGTAATAGTACAAAAATAAGCTAGGTAGGCAGGCAATGGTCACAGTCAACATAATGACATAACTTTGTTATTACTGTATTAGTACAAAAGTAAGCTAGGTAGGCAGGCAGTGGTCACAGTCAACATAACGACATAACTTAGTTAATACTTTAATAGTATGAAAGTATTTTAAAAACCCAACTCAATATAAGATAAAGTTTTAGCCAATTAATGCTATTCTTATTCCTTTTTTTTAATTGCTGACAAAACCTTATTTCAAGGAAAGTGTGGAACTACAGACATTGCTTGTCGATAATGTTCATGACTTGTGGGTTAAGATGTTCTCGACAGATGGAGCCATATAGCCATAACTGGGTGAAATGTTGTAGTTGTTCTGCGTAGTTATGTGTACGATACTTATAATAACAGCAAAATAGAAGGTCATTTTCAGCTGTTAAATGAATTTAATGATGTTGGCAATGTAAGTTTTGTATATCCATTCAGTCTCAATGTTCAGATGTCCTTTACAACTTGTAAGTTATTGTTTCAGAATCTTTGCTCATTATTTTATATTTATTTCAGTCTCTCTGAGTGTATTGCTGTGCATTTTGTTGAGGGTCTACTAACAAGCAGCATCAGTAGTTACGACTTTGTACACCAGAGTGTTCAGTACAGGGTGAAAGGAGTCATTCAGTACAAGACAAACTGTAGTCCAAAACATTTTGTGGCTTGGATCCGAAATCATGCAGGTTTGTGAGGCTTCCTTTGTTTAAACATTAAGTTTTTTGTTTGTTTTTGAAAGTAATTTATGGTTCTGTTGTTTATGTAAACTTAGTCTTTAAAAGTATTCTACAAATAAGACATTGGTTCCTGTCTTTATGTAACTTATACGTTAGTGGATTCAGGATTTTCAGAAGGGAAGGGTCATAATCTAAAGGTCAAATGGCTTGATTTAAGTAATAAGGGATTATGGAAAATGGCCAGTACTTTTATACGTCCACAGCTCCAACTCTAGAGACACTGACAGTCAACAGCCTCTGGGGTTGGTTGTGTGGAAGAGTTCTTTGGATTTGAACATAAGTTAAATTATTTAGAAATTGCTTTTATGATTCAGTTAGTGGATTAATCTTACACTTGTTTTTATGAATATTAATCTTACAAACAAAACGAGTAGTTTCATATAAACTTTCTCTAACTCTGTAAAATTAATTTTGACCACTCACTAATAAGTAACATCTATGGAAATTTCCAAAGTGACTCTACCAACTTTTCACTTCAAAGCATTTGATATTTTGCCTGTATCAGGATTTAAAATCTTGATACCGTGATAAAGATTACATCAGGTTGGGAGTTCAATTTCAGATAATTCACAAGTTTCACCATCCAAAAAAGTGGGTATTCTATAAAAGTTATATGAATGCAGGCCTTCCACTCCTCCTTTGCTTTCAGATGCTTTCTGTTTTTATGTTCTATTACATGAGAAACATTTCATGAACTTGTGGGCATTGGTAAAGAAAATCTGACATAATTAACTTTTCAATTTCTATATTTGTGTGTTATCTTTCTTTTATTATTAGAGAAGATTTTTCAAAGAAGGCTGAAACTGGAATGAATTGTGCCAAAAGTACCAGCCTTTTATACAAGTGAAAGATGATTCATTTTAGTGCTATGAAACATTGCGCTAATATGTGTAATGGTGAGTCAACATATCAGATAACATTGGACTTTTTTGGCAAGACAAGATAATTATTTCAAAGTTGCATCACATGATGTTACTTTGTGGGCATTTAAAGTTCAGCCTGATTATTATTTTGGTCTTATGATGGAATTGGGTTGTACTGGAGCTTTATATGCCAGTATTTATGCTAAACGTACAAAAAGCCGATATTGTATGGTATAAGTCACAGCAGAAAATTAAGTTCTTTAATTGTTGAAACTACTACAAAGTGAATTAAGCTGCAGCTTAACCCATTCACTACGATTGGTACATATATGGCCACTAAATATTTTTTCTTGCTTTAGCAACAGTTCGAAATGATCATGTGGCATAACGGTACTTACAAACAGAGTAGCCAGCACTGGATCAGTTGACCACATGGTATAATGGTATTGACAAACTGAGTAGCCAGCACTGGATCAGTTGACCACATGGCATAACGGTATTGACAAACAGAGTAGCCAGCACTGGATCAGTTGACCACATGGCATAACTGTATTGACAAACAGAGTAGCCAGCACTGGATCAGTTGACCACATGGTATAACGGTATTGACAAACAGAGTAGCCAGCACTGGATCAGTTGACCACATGGCATAACTGTATTGACAAACAGAGTAGCCAGCACTGGATCAGTTGACCACATGGTATAACGGTATTGACAAACAGAGTAGCCAGCACTCTGTTAAAGTTGACCACATGGCATAACAGTATTTACAAATAGAGTAGCCAGCACTGGATCAATTGACAAGTAGTCCTCTATCAGTGGTTATTTTTATGATGCCTATGATGAAAAAAATGCAAGAAATTTCTTCATTTCTGGTGCAACAGTTGCAGACCATCATTTTATTCTGCTTTTAGGCAGTTCAATTCCAAAAACTGTTTAGCAAACCTACTTGTTTCAGTGACAATCATATTCACAACATCCTCCATCACAAACAGTTTGAAAATGTCAACTAGAACGGCTTCCGGCAGCAAATCTGTAACCACATAAGGCTGTGTAGTAAAAGAAATATTGCCTGGACAGTCTTCCGTCTATCAAGTGATGCTGGTATTTCGATGTCACTGTTGGTGTCTGGATTGGCAGTATCAGCTGTGGACAAATCAGCCTGAATGTTTACCTGCTCTGTACAATCTAGGCCTCTTTCATCATCAGACTCAGAATCATTAGGCTCATCATTACTATCTCCATCGTCCTTCTCAAATGACCTTCGATCAGATTCTTGTAAAATACTTGTAGTTTTGCTCAGACTAAATCATTTGTGCAACCCTGCCATCTGGTAGCTATAACGATAACCAGAACAAAACACTGTGGAGATCTCGGGTCATATGACTAGAAACTTTAGGGAAAAATATTGTCTGTCATTCACAAAAGGACAGTACACACATAACCGTTGTACAGCACTAAAGGACTGTTTATTTGTATGCTCACATGTAATTATAGCCCCTTTGCCAATTGATGCGGTAACATGCCAGTAGTGGCTGACCAATAAAAATGATCGGTCATTAGTGGCGAATGTGTGTTAAGCCAGAAGAGTTCATGCTGCAGGGGATCCATCTTTATAATTATTGTTTTTCGTTCCCTTATTATTATTATTAATTTTTCATTTAATTATTTATTTTCCTACTTCTTCGCCCATATGACTCATTAAATCGCTGACCACTCATTGAGCTTTAACCTCTTGCCTCGAGCAGGGTGAAGGAGGATTGCTAATCTTCGAACATCCTTGATTATTAATTATTTCCCCTGAAATAATTAAATTTAAATCAAAACAACTGCCAGAAATATGTGGGATCCATCTATAGTAGAAGTGGATATTAGTGATAAGAAGTTACATATGACTTATCTCTAGGATAAGAAATTTTTATAATTTAAAGAAAGAAACATTAATTTCTATGCGTGTTTATTTTGCTATGCTGTTGTCTCTAAAAATGCAGAAGAAATCCTGTTCTTCAACAACTGCAGCTTATTCGCCCATGAAGAAGGTTTATGCAAAGGTATTAATATCTCTAATTATGGCACATTTTCCGTGAAACAGGAAAGCTGGTGGTGTGATAAGAGGATGGACTTGGTATTCTCTATATAGGGTTTGCAGATGATGTTAGTTAGAAATGAATCAATTGTATTGAAAATTGTATATAAATGAGCCAAAGAATTGACTGTGCAAGCCGAATCACTTGTGAAGTACCGTTTGATAAACCTTGTATCTCTGAGATTTCTTTTTCTTGCAGAGTCCTTCATTATTCTAAAACAAAATCGTATTTCTCTCTAACTTTCTATCCGGGTATAGGTGGAGATAGTAATGCATATCCAGCAATGAACAAAAGTACCGAGGTTTTTGTTCCTTTGAGTCTTTTTAATTCTGAGTCATCCTTCATTTTTTGCAGAACACATTATACTACATTCTGTTTCACTCTCAAGGTGTTGGTAAATACTCAAAGGATTAGAATTGGCTGTGAACTGGGTGGTGACTCCTTGACCCAACATATTGCAGAAATTTCTTCCATCTAAAAAAAAAATACTAAAACTTATACTTAATCCCTCCTGCATCTTTTTTCCATGATGGGTGGAAGGCCTGTGAATCTTAGAGAAATACTAGTTCTAGTATGACCTTCTCATAGTTATTAGTCCTAATGAACAAAACCTTTTAATTTTATAATTTTGACTTTAGGTAAAGTTGCAATTTCTGGGTACTTTAACTCGTTAAAATGCTTGTAAATGAATGAAAAAATATGTTGTTATTGTAAAAAGTTAATAAAAGATTTTCTTTAGTATCCAAGTCACCAAAAATTGGCAAGCTAAAAATCTTCCTGATTTTTTATACATCTGTTACTTAGAAAGTGTTTTTATAATACAGTATGATGATTCATTGTTCATTTTTGATTCAAAACCGTGGCAAAAAAGACAGGGTGAAACTTTATTCAGAAAGCTAAAGTTCTTTTGTCATAAAAGAGTAAAATTGTTTAATGTATGGGAAAAAGATCTATACCACATTATGATTAATTAGTTTTTATTAAGTTTATCAGGTGTTTAATAACGTGATCAATGAAATGTAGATTTTTGTAATAGCAAATATAATCTGAAAGTCTTCATTGTTAAAAAAAAAAGCTTCATAGTAACTTTCATAAAGATACATATTTCTGTTATGGTAGCTCATAAGACTTTTCTTTTTTCCTTTGCTTGGTATTAACAATGAATCTCAGTACCTAAGAAATGATATTGTTTTAACAATGAATCACAGTAGGTGAGAAATGATATTGTTTTATTAATGAATCACAGTAGGTGAGAAATGATATTGTTTTATTAATGAATCTCGGTAGGTGAGAAATGATATAGTTTTAACAACGAATCACGGTAGGTGAGAAATGATATTGTTTTAACAGTGAATCTCTATAGATGAGAAATGATATTGTTTTAACAACGAATCTCGGTAGGTGAGAAATGATATTGTTTTAACAACGAATCTCGGTAGGTGAGAAATGATATTGTTTTAACAACGAATCTCGGTAGGTGAGAAATGATATTGTTTTAACAACGAATCTCGGTAGGTGAGAAATGATATTGTTTTAACAACGAATCTCGGTAGGTGAGAAATTATATTGTTTTAACAACGAATCGCGGTAGGTGAGAAATTATATTGTAAAAAGTCTAGAATACCAACATTTCCTTGGGGATAATAATCTCAGTCTCCTTGTAAAATGTGTTCACTTAAAAGAAAAAGTGAAAAATCTTTCAGAGTCAACGTAAAAACTTGAATGTCTTATTGATATATATGAGATGTAAAGATTATATAAAATAAAACCAGGATTGATTTTACAAAATGTTGTAGTGCCATAAAAATTAACAATACTCAAGGTATAAATCTTCAAACTTTTCCAGAAAGCACCTGGCTATGTTGTGATGATCTCCAAGGTTCTGAGGTTTCCTTCCAGGAAGAGGACCCTCAAATATTGGCTTCAGAAATGCACATTTTAGTGTGGGAAAGAGAGGAAAGTGATGTGGTGATGCATGAATATCTTGATCCAGGCAAAACTTTGACAAAGGACTTTAACATTTCACGGTTGTCACCAGGTGCTCCATCTGTTCATTTAATTCAAAATGTAGTGTCGCATCCCTCTTCAATACAAGTTTCAGGAAGTGCCTTACCGAAAGGAACATCTTTTGTTTCAAGAACTGTTCCACCTGACAGTACAGTTACATCTGCCAAGCATCAGAAAAGCATTGACTCGTTAGCAGTCTGCAGTAAAGTTCAAGCTACACTTGTGACTTCAGACAAAACATTTCCCAGGAAATGTTTGACTGTATCTCCTTCAGTGACTCTTTCATGTAATGACTGTCTAAAGCCGCATCTATCAGCTGATTTAAAAAGTCAGAGCACAATACCAGTTGTACAACATGATAGATTATCTTTTGAGCCAATGTTTGAGACAATTCCAGGTGTAAATCCTCCAAATATGACATCTTTTGTGAATTCTCTGGTTACATCAAAATCTAGTGCTCAACCTACAGTCATGACAACATCTACTGTGAATCCTATTCTATTGACATCTGGTGATCAGCCTTCAATCATGACAACAGCTACTGTGACTCCTACAGTACTGACATCTGGCATTCAGCCTAAGGTCATGACACATTCTGATGTGAATCATACACTACTGGTATCTGGTGTTCAACCTTCAGTTATGACAAGATCTTCTGTGAATCCTACACTACTGAAATCTGGTGTTCAGCCTATGATCATGACAACATCTGCTGTGAATCCTACACTACTGACATCTGGTGTTCAGCCTAAGATCAGGACAACATCTGCTGTGAATCCCACACTACTGACATGTGGTGTTCAGCCTATGGTCATGGCAACATCTGCTATGAATCCTACACTACTGACATCTGGTGTTCAGTCTATGGTCGTGACAACATCTGCTGTGAATCCCACACTACTGACATCTGGTGTTCAGCCGACATTCATGACATCATATATGAATTCTACACTACTGACATCTGGTGTTCAACCTACAATCATGACAACATCTACTATGAGTCCTACACTACTGACATCTGGTGATCAGCCTTCAATCATGACAATATCTACTGTGAATCCTACACTGCTGACATGTGGTGTTCAGCCTATGATCATGGCAACATCTGCTATGAATCGTATACTACTGACATGTGGTGTTCAGCCTTCAATCATGACAACATCTACTGTAAATTCTACAGTACTGACATCTGGTGTTCAGCCTATGGTCACCACAACATCTGCTGTAAATCCTACACTACTGACTTGTGGTGTTCAGCCTTCAATCATGACATCTACTGTAAATCCTACACTACTGACATCTGGTGTTCATCCTAAGGTTATGACAGAATCTACTGTGATCCCTACAGCACTGACATCTGGTGTTCAGCCTATGGTCATGACAACATCTGCTGTGAATCCCACACTACTGACATCTGGTGTTCAGCCTTCAGTCATGACAACATCTACTGTGATCCCTACAGTACAGTCATCTGGTGTTCAACCTATGGTCATGACAACATCTTCTGTAAATCCTACACCATTGAAAACTGGTGTTCAGTCTATGGTCGTGACAACATCTGCTGTAAATCCTACACTGTTGAAATCTGGTGTTCAGTCTATGGTCGTGACAACATCTGCTGTAAATCCTACACTACTGACATCTGGTGTTCAGCCTATGATCATGACAACATCTTCTGTAAATCCTACACCATTGAAAACTGGTGTTCAGTCTATGGTCGTGACAACATCTGCTGTGAATCCCACACTACTGACATCTGGTGTTCAGCCGACATTCATGACATCATCTATGAATTCTACACTACTGACATCTGGTGTTCAGCCTATGATCATGGCAACATCTGCTGTGAATCCTACACTACTGACATCTGGTGTTCAGCCTATGATCATGACAACATCTAGGCTGAACACCAGATGTCAGTAGTGTAGGATTCACAGCAGATGTTGTCATGATCATAGGCTGAACACCAGATGTCAGTAGTGTAGGATTTACAGCATGATCAGGACAATATCTACTGTAAATCCTACACTACTGACATCTGGTTTTCAGCCGACATTCATGACATCATCTATGAATCCTACACTACTGACATCTGGTGTTCAGCCTTCAGTCATGACAACATCTACTGTGAATCCTACACTACTGACATCTGGTGTTCAGCCTACAACCATTACAGCATCTACCATGAACCCTACAGTTATGAAGACAGCTAGAGCAGGACCTACATGTATGACATCTTGTATGAATCATACTGCTGTGTCAGAATTATCTAGTTTGGTGTCTGCCAGCATGAGTGCAAAAGGATGTGCTTCTGACCTTACCCATGATGTAACTATTCCATCAACGGACTGTGGCAGTAAGTGGACAGCCATATACATCATGACCGGAGATGATGATCAAGAACCTCAGCTACATCTGTTGACTACAGTACCAGCTGATACTAGTTCTGCTAAGGCCTTACTCGAGAGTACAGGCCTAGTTTCTAGTGATAAATCTGTTGGTCAACCATATTTTTCTGATGTTAACTGTGACAGAATTAGCCAGCAACTAGTAGCGAGTCAGGCTGACAGGCTTGCATCTACATGTAGTCGGTCTTTTCTCCAAAACCGGTTGCTGAAAAGAAAAAAAACTGAAAAAAGAATGCTTAATACAAAACTAGCTCAGAAAAGGAATTCTCATGATACAGAATACTTCAACAACCCTGGAATTTCTCTAGACTTTGATGAAAACATAGTCCCATTAGGTGACAACCTTAAGCCTTGGAAGACAAAGAAACTACAAAAAGTATCAGAAGGATCTCAGAAGACAGTAAAGCAATTTGAACAATTAGAAGTAACAAGAAAAGAAAACATACTTCCCACTCAGTCTGTTCCATCAAGTTTAGCAGAGTATGCGGCTATATTGGGTTCTGTACCTAGTCCAAGTGACAGATCCACAGCATCAGATGGAGAGGTCAGTCTCTTGAGCTCATCGGGAATATTTGATTGTGGCTCAACAGATGTCAGTTCTTCAGAGAGTGGAAGCAAGAAAACATCTTTATCAAAACAATTTTTTGTGAAGCAAATTAAAACTTTGGTGAAAGGAAAGTGTAGAAGCAGTGGTTATGAAGGTTACAAGCCCAAATTAACCCCAGTAAGAACTTCCCCTACTAGTCGCAAGAGGAAGACGAATTCCACAGCATTGTTTAATGAAGTACGCTCAAAATGTTTAAAAAGTAATGAAATAGCACAAGATGAAGGTAGTCATTTGGTAAATAAAATCAAGCAGAATTCTATTTGGAGTGATAATATAATAACAGAACTGTTTGGTTAGATTTTACGGTTTTGTCCTGGTCAGATCTGTTCCAGTTAGAAATTCATGGCTATATATACATTGTGCAAATATTTTCACGACTATGTCACTCCCAAATCTGTAATACGTTTGGATCATCATGTTTTCAAAGTTAAAAACTTGTGTGTGTATATTAATAGTTTATTCTGTTGTCAATTATTTCCACTTTTCTATGAAAAACATCCATAATTTTTATACTGATTGAGCTACAGAAGTCTGTGATACTAGTACAAACCAGCAATAATATCTGTTTAAATTACGTTTTATTTCTAGTACAGTAAATAAAACTTTGATTTCTTTTTTTTTACTAAAATATGTAGAGTATAAAGTGTCTATCATTTATTTAAAAAAAAAAAAAGATTTTCCAAAATAGTTAGCTGATGTTTGGGTTTCCAAAATGGCTGCTACATGCATTAAAGAAATAAAATCTGTGATATCACATCAGCAGGCCAGAAAAGGTGGTTCGATGGGAGTAAAGAGAGTGGTTGTAGTCTGGCGAGTTGGGAGTACAGAGTTAATCTTGTTACTTAAACAATGTATATACTGCAAGCTATTATGGGCATGATGAATTGACCCAATGTGTAACCAAAGAAACCAATCATAACGTAGCTTTCAATCACATGCAAGTAAAATTTTTTAATGTGCATTAGATCAACGAGTTATGGATCCGTAGATCAATATTTAACACAGTCATAACATATTGGCTTGACACAGTGTGGAAGTTGCGATTAAAATCCATTACTTGTGAGGGATTTTATGACAGTATAGTTTATTAACTTTAAAATGGTTGTTTGAAAGTTAACCCTATTAAACAACTTGCTGGAGTTTCATTACAATACTGTAGCATTGGCAGGTGAAACTATATGCATACCTTAGACATGAAGACTTGCTGATTTTTGTGATGAGTAAAATCTAAACAACTAATGTTTCAACTTCCTAACACCAAACTTTGTACGGGGATTGCTTTGCTTGTAACGTAAACCAACAATAGCTAGAATTCCACAGTTAGGTGCAACTTATTTTCTCACTACACTTAAAAAATGTATTTATTATTCTTGAGTTATCTTGATGAGAAGTGGCATTTTTAAATCTGTCTTAGAGAATTCAAGAGGTAAAAAATGTAAACTGTAACAAGTTTATTTTTAATATATCCATTTATGTAATTTTCAGAAACTGATTTCAAATTTATGCTTTAAACAATTCACATTATTTAACATTTGCAACTTTGAACAAAATATAATTTTTTTTTCCAAAGAATTATGTTAACTGTTCAGTTAACCTCAGAATCCTCTCGACAAGTCCCACGATGCGTCTTCAGTGATATTAAATGTAACAAATATTTGTGTTAATGTGGGATTCCGGTGGTGAGTAAAGGGCCTTATGCATCAGTTTGTAACTATGGGCTTGTACTGCAGAATTTCGTTTCAGTCCTTAGTGATGTGTGTAGTTACTACAACACTTTGTGTCAGTTGTTTCAAACTTAGGTTGATGAGGTGAAATTCATTTATCTGCATCTTGTTGTCTAACAATGATTAGAAAACTTTCTAATACCTTCAAAAATGTTGCCAAAGATGTCTGTATGAAGTTTGAAACGATGTAACTAGGATGATTACAAATGTGTAAAACACATTTAATAAATGAGATAACTTAACAAACGTTGCAATGCAAAGCTAACCCAATGTGCTGATATTTAAAATGATGTAACGAGAATTATTGAAATTATCGGGTACAATTATATTGTCTGATAATTAAATATTTGTTTTCCTTTTGTATCATTATAAAAATTTTCATCTTAAGCAAACGATGTTGAGGTAAATGTTTTCACGTGTAATCAAAGTTATATGTCGTGGTATGATATAAAAATAGGGAAGTTTAATATACCAGAAATATTGGCCGAGTTTTCGTAAGTAAATAATTAATGAAAGCTTTTAGCATTATTATTGTTTCATTTAAGTTATAAGTATGTTAAAATCTTAAATATATGATCACATTGGGTATTTTAAATAAAAAATCAGGTCCATTCATTCCAGTAAATTAAACTGTTTTAATGTCCCGACAAGATTTTATCTTCCAATATGGCCTTTCATTTTGGAAAAAAAAAAAACATAGCAGTGAATATATCGTTAAAAGTAGGGGTATACATAGGAGATACTCTCACTGATGAAAGAAAAACAACAACACAAAACCAGCACCAAGGTGATATCCTGCCACTTGTATATTATAAAATTGTGGCTTTAATCACTTGAAGGAATGAAATGACTACCTCTCCTCTGTTGATGTGAATTTGTAAATAATAATTGTCCATATAATACTAATAAAATTTTCACACAGAGAAAAATACTTTGGTGTGACTGTTTGAAAGCTTGTTACACAAAAATCTTCGATACATGATCTGTTTTCTAGATAATTTTGCAGTTACTAATTTACAAAAACAAACATTTTAATATTAATAGAAACTTTTTTTTTCACACTAAACACTGTTGTCAAAAACGTGTGGTAGTGATGAACAATCAGTTTTCAGTTACAAAACAAACAAACTGTCTTGGGAAAATGTGAAAACTTCCTTTAAATGCATCTAAATGTAAATGAAATAATTTTCATTATTTAAAATGTTCCAAGAAAAGAAATGAATTCTCTTATACTCCAAAATAACATAAATAATTAGATCAAATTCAGTATAACAATAAAGTTAAAGATACCAGTGTCTAACGGTAGCATCTATGTACAATCCAGAACGGAAACCTCTGGTACGATGTAATTAGAACAGTTGAAAATCAAATAATTTTGGTAAAAGTATTTAACTTTGAAATAAAGAATTTGAATTTTCTTTTATGTATACACATAATGAAACTCAAATGGAAAGAAAAAAATGTCTCAATGAATTATCTCCCCTAAATGATTCTGTTGCTATGGTAATACTTATACCTTATGCAAGATAACCACGATGTAATACAAAGCTTTACTTATTAAACAGTTTTTGTAATATTTCTTCATAATCAGCGTAAGTTACCGACAATAGCTCCAGAATCTACTTCTGAATACGGTGGGAAGAATGAAACTAAAACATATCTACACGCTGAAGACAGAAGCTAAACAAATCGTGCTCCTGAAGGTAGAGAGATCGGCCTAGCTTTGATATCAAAATACAAAACATATTTTGTGTGTTTTAATAACAACATAAGCTGTGATATTTATCTTTCTCTTACCTTTTGAACAATAATAATTTTGAAAATTTACAAAACTTATAGCACATCACAAGCAGTAGAATAATTTAACAAAGTCCCCCCCCCCCTTCAACTCGGGTCCATATGCCATGTCGTAATATGTGTTAATTCTACATGACTACCATTTGTGGCCCCTTTATTAGTAAACACCCTTGCTGCCCTACCCCCCTCCCTTAACGATGCTCCTGATTACAGTTTAACAACTATAGGTGCTTTTAAAGACATAATAGCTCATAAAAATCTTGGTTATATTTACTGCCAGTTGCAAAACCTGAACTCCTAACAATATTACCGATACTGTTCTGCTTTACTGTTTAATCTACTATAGTTACATAACTGTAAGAAATAAGACATGCATTTTTAAACAGCATTACCAGGTTTAGTTTTGCCTTAGGGTAACTATAATATTTATACTATTAACTGTAACACACGGATATACTTGTGTTTATACTTTACGAACATTAACACTTGTTTTACAATATTGTTAACTCTTCAACACAGATATACTAATATTTATACTTAAACATTACCGAGTTTGTTTTACAATACCGTTAACTCTGCAACACACAGATATATTTATACTTAACAAACATTATTGATTTTGTTTTATAATATTATTAACTCTGCAACACACAGATATACTTATACTTAAACATTACCGAGTTTGTTTTACGATATTGTTAACTCTTAAACACAGATATACTTGTGTTTATATTTAAACATTACTGAGTTTGTTTTACAATATTGTTAACTCTTCAACACAGATATACTTGTGTTTATATTTAAACATTACCGAGTTTGTTTACGATATTGTTAACTCTTCAACACAGATATACTTGTGTTTATATTTAAACATTACTGATTTTTTAGGCCTGTGACTGAATACACTATGGTATAATTACATACAGCACTGAAAGATTGTCATAGTTTTACAAATATATTCTGAATGTAATGCTTATAGGAATATAAAAATGACCGCCCATATTCAACTCCCTCAGATTATCACCAGTGTAATGTAAAATAATCTGCTCAAAAACCACAATATTTTAACTTATACTAACAGCAACTTTCTTGTACAAGTTCTATAAGAATAAATAGACTTTATTAACCCTATATATTTAGTGTGTTGTGGTTAAAACTTTATTAGAATTTAACAATGCTTAACAAGAGTTTGTGTCATAGACTTCCTTGTCTATATCACACCATGTGGAACGTTAGATGGGTGGTACTCACATAAGATATACACTCAGTTCATCACTGTTGTCAGGATTGTTTCTGACAACAGTTCAAAATATACAGTAGAAAACAATGATGCTATTATACACATGGGACTTAAATTGACAGTTATCTGATATTCACACTTGAGGACCGATAGTTGTTTACTGTTACTCGTGAAATCCTTAAATTCCAACTAAACATTAACAGTAGACACAACTAAGTTTTCACAGTTTAAATTCTTAAACTAAACTCTTATAACACAAACAATAAAACAGTGCAACAAGTTCTTTGTTTTTCAGTGGTCAGACAAATTACTTAATCCTAACAAAACACCTGTGGTTTCAACTGATCTGTCCTAGTTAAGTGTGAAAATTAAGGTAGGTTGTGTATTGTGATGCTTATTATACTACAAACCTTTGTGCAAGAAAATGACACACATTTCAGTCACATGTTTTGGATCTCCATGCATAAGAAAATGCTACAAACATATGAAAATACTCAATTATATATAAATCACAGACATGAATATCCATACTCCTGGAAATAATTACAATCTAAAACCTCTTCCTAAAGCTTCTCTCTGTACCAACTGAAACTGGACGAGGAAGAGTCCACGAAGTTTTGGATGGAGATAATATTGATATACGGAATTAGAGTCATCAGCCGTTTGGAAGGAGGCCTCCGATTGGTCGTCTTCTCTAGATAGCCACTGAGCTCCGATTGAGGTGAACTGAGCTGTTTTGTGTATGTAATCAGCAACCCTCTCGAGATTACTCTCCTGAGCCTATATGGTGCGATAAATTGCAATTATTATTCTCCAAAATAATAACAATTTTCTGATGTTTTTAATCAAAACAACAAGTATATAGAGCAAGTAAAAAATAACACACCAATTTAGTTAAGAAAGATTATCTACTCTAGTTCTATTTACACTCACAGCTTTCATTTCGGGTGGAAGTTTCCCAATCTTTTCCCGTAACACCAGGTATATTGCACTCAGGTCGCTGACTGACCCACGACACTCCACTTCCGTTATTGCAAAGGTTTGCTGTTGTGTATCTTCTTCTTTGTTGATTACACATAAAACCTAGTGAATAGTTTATATGTTTACATATTACCTTCCAAGTGCACTGCTGACCCTTTGTTAATCCAAGAAACAAGAACTGTTAACTAAGTAAGATGTTTCAGTTCTTGTTAGTTAATTCAACACATCAACAACAGAGTTTGTTCTTCACAGCCTAAGTTATAAACCTGCAATCTGTGAAGAAACATGAAAAAAAAAAACGAGTTCGAGAAAATACTTACTGCTCGTTGGCACCTCTTTGAATGTTTAATTTTATTTATATTTAATTTACTATGTGGCAGCGAACATGTTAAAGTGTGGGGCATACCTCCCCAACAGGGCACAAGTGATTAAGAAAGTCAATAGTACAATAATGTAAAATTAACCACTTTAATTAATGAAAATAACAAGTAATTACTACAACACATATAGTAATTTATGTGTATTATATCTCATCACTTAACTCACCTTTTTCACATTTAAACAAAGGGGGGGGGGAGCGTAAGAGAGCATATTTATTAAAGGGGGGCATGAATGACAAACGTTTGAGAAACAAAATATTAATAAGACTTGATTAATGCCTCAAACTCCTTATAAATTATATTAAAAAATTATCTAAAACATTAGCTCAGGTTTGCAAAAGTTTTACAAAATATTAATCTTAAATTCTATATGTATTCTGTGTTTGATATATCAGTGTTAGTTAAAAGTCGCAAAGAAAAGGCAGTTTTCATTTTACTTTTTAACCTTAATTTGTTTAAAGGTCAACAATTAATAACAAGCAGTTAATGATGAAACTCAAGAGAAGATCCCAGAAGAAAGACAACATTAATTCAGAGTCTTCTCTAAGATCAAAGTTGGAACTAACATAGTAATTGTTTACTTCTTTGAGTTCAACTTAACCAAGATGTTAGAACCAGTCAAAACAATGTTGCCTGCAAGGTTTGGGTAACCATTTTTATTCACAAAATGAACTAAATTTTGATATTACTTCCTTTAATCCAAACATCCTATTTTATTTCTTACACTTACCTTTACTTAGTAATTGTTTACTTCTGTGAGTTCAACTTAACCAAGATGTTAGAACCAGTCAAAACAATGTTGCCTGCAAGGTTTGGGTAAGCATTTTTATTCACAAAATGAACTAAATTTTGATGTTACTTCCTGTAATCCAAACATCCTAATTTATTTCTTACACTTACCTCGGTTGTTAAAACAAGCACGTCAGAGATGTAACTGCCAGAATGGTTAAGATGAGTTGCTTCCAGACATAAAACCACTTTATCTCTACCCAGCCCTTGCAGAACCTTCCATGCAAGCTTCAAGTGACTGTTGTGCCTGTCTCTGCAGAACGCTGTTACTGGACTATACTTCCGGACTAGTTTCCTCCCCCAGCCTGCTCCTTCCAACAAACCTGAAGAACAAATTCTTCAATGTAAGCAGTGTCACCATTAAACTTTTAATAAAGAAAACCTCCAAAATAAGCATTTCACAAGTATTCTACTAAATATGTAAGTACCATAAAGTTTTGTTTGAGCTTTCAATTACCAGAAACTTTTATTTTTACCTAACTAGTGAAAATATACATAAATTCATAGCAGTATAAAAAAACACACTTAAAAATACTGTTTAAAATGGAGAAGTACTCTATGTACCATGACTTTATTTATACTGCTATTTAAACAAAACAATGAGAAACATGAAAGTTTAATTAGACACCAGAATTAAGTTATTTTAATAATGTTTAAAAACAACTTTATGGTTCTTTCTTCATAGCAATATTTTATAATTACTACAAATTATATATATATATATAACTGTCACATATCGGTGTTTATAGCTCACTAATACTATTGTTTTATTAGAACAATGATGTGATTTTAAAATGGTTACATGACATCTACTGAAATATCCCACTGACAGAGATCAATCATCGTGTAGCTTTTAATCTCGCACATAAGGCATTGCTGAACCATCTTGTAGTTTTGAACTACATATGTGACAGAATTTTTGCTCATCATTTAACTTTGAATTGTGTAAGTAGCTTGACTGACAGATCATTAAAACAAGTACACTGATCTAACTGAAAACATGATACATCAATGATGGTTCCACTAAGTAATACAAAATTATCATTATAAAACCTTATTCGTAGCTTGAGTTTTTTTCAGAAGGGTAATAAAGAAATATTGTGGAAATTTTTAATTTATTGAGAAACTTTAGAATATGTATTCAACTGAGTTATCTCTCGCAAGATGAAATACTTCATTACATGCTCTTAGTTTTTAATAGACTGTAAACTTCCATCTTCTACATGAATGTACTTTTCACTCAGGAATGACAGAACTAAACCTTGCATTAGTACTTTAGCCTAGGGATGTTTTTTGACTTTGTTCTTTTTTGTAAATTTATATTGGTGGAAATCCTGGAAGATATCCTGCATACGTTGCTGCGGGATTAAATTAAGGCACAGAGGTTTCTTAAAATGACATCTTGATATGTTCGTGAGGTTTCCATAATTTATAAGAATTGTGTATTTTAATAACATTCGAATGTTCACATTTCTTGATGTTAGAAAAAAAATTTCTAATCTGGTACACATATTTACTTTACCTTGTCCAGCCTGGGAAACAAGCTCTGCAGCTCCACCTATTGGCTTTGCAACTACTCCAACAAGTCCTTTCCCAACCCCTGTGACAACTCCACTTGCAACTCTAACTGATGAGTTTGTACCAAGGTCTGGAGAAACAAGCACCTGAAGAGGTTGATCAACTACTCCTGCTACAGCACCTGGAAAACAAAACTTTAACCTGTGATACAAGAAGGCAACATAGAACCTAGGGGAAAAACAACAACTTAATCTGTGACATATGTAGGCCACCATAGTACCTGGAAAACAAAACTTTAACCTGTGATACAAGAAGACAACATAGAACCTGGGGAAAAACTACAACTTAATCTGTGACATATGTAGGCCACCATAGCACCTGGAAAACAAAACTTTAACCTGTGATACAAGAAGGCAACATAGAACCTGGGGAAAAACACTTTAACCTGTGATACAAGAAGGCAACACAGAACCTGGGGAAAAACAACAACTTTAACCTGTGATACAAGAAGGCAACACAGAACCTGGGGAAAAACAACAACTTT